CCACCATCCCGGGCAGCTGCCAACACTTCACCCTCGTTTGGTGTTGCAGCCTCGGTAGAAGTAATGCAAGCCACCTTTGGCTTGGGCTGGGTGCCGCTCGTCGTCGCGGAAGATCGGCCGGCGTTGCAGACTTCGATATTCGTGAGAATGATCCGTGACGTTGTGCTGAAAAGCTTGTCAGATGTGTCGAGTGTCTCTGCAATCTGCGTCAGCGCGTTTTGCAGAGTTGGACACGAGCGCATGATAAACAAGTGCTTGATGGCGCGGAATGCGAGCGGCAGGTCAGGTGTGGAGGCGAGTCTTTGGAACTCAGTAATCCAGTCCTGACTGAGCAGCGTGTTGTGATGGAGCTTGTTGAGCTTGTCCATCGCTTGCAGGTCGGGCGGCTCCACTTGGAATCGCTTGTGCCAGGCGTCGGTCAACTCCTGCCAAGTGAGCTTGGCATGCAGTTCCGACACTGCTACGCCGTGGCTGGTCAAGATGTTGTCCAGCCATGCTTGACACGCACCACCAGATCGGTGGTACAAGCACGGATGTCGATCGTTGTTCGGGACATGGTGCATGTGGAGCCTGAGAGTAAACTGGCGCCACCACGGGATCGGTTCCGTCTTGGASTGATCGCAGAAGACGGGAATGTCATCCAGCTTGGGTGGGCGCYGGGAGGATGCGGCGGCGGGCGTCACGGTGGCAGCAGCCTGGACCTGCGTCTCCAACTGCAAGTTCGTTGCTTGCTGCGACGTCCGGAAGTCCTGATGCACACGCTTGATGTTGCTGATGTCATCCTCCAAAACTTGCATACGGGTGGTAAGGGTGGAAGGCCCTGCGGCTGCTACAGCAGCTGGCTGTTTTTCCAACGCCTGCAGCCGTGCGAGCATCTGGTCCACTATCTGCTGCAGGTGAAGGATTTCCTCCTGCTGCAGAGCGCAGGTGGCCACGAGGTCGTGGGAGACCTGCGCAAGGGCTGACAGCCCTTTCTCAGTCTCGGGGGCCCCGTCTGCAGATGTCACTTCCACCCAATGTGCGGCCTCATCGCCGATCACAGTCTCCCGCGTGAACAGTCGTTCCCGCTGGCGTGACCGGTGTTCGGCTGCCGCCTGCAGGTCTGCCTCTAATTGACGAAGTCGGTCCTGTTCCTCCTTCTGTCGCTTGGCCTCCTCCTCTTGTTCGAGCCGTTTACGTTCCTTGGCCGCGGCGGCGGCCCTATCGTTGGCCTCCTGAATGAATGCTGCCAGGCGTTCCTCATAGGCCAGGAGGGATTCTCCCGCCTTCCGGTCCATGGCCTTGGTCTGTGATCGAGTGAGTAGTGTCATGCACTGTTGTGCCCGCAGTCGGAAGAGTCACCCGAGGGCCAATCTGATGGACTGGCCCAGTACCCGGACTGGAGGGGGAGGAATAGGTAGGAAGAAGACAAGTGGGAAGGATCGGACAGAGCCCAATTTGAACAGTTTCCTAATCAAAAAGAAGAAAAACAAAACTTTAAAATTCGAAAAAAGTTTGTCCAATCCCACTGAGTACCGAAGGTGATGCAAAAAGCAAATGTGAACCTTCGGTGCTCGGACTGCAGAGAATCAGAAAAGAAGGGTCTTTGTAACTCAAAGTAGGAGTAGGTTGCAAACAGAAAAAAAAATGCCTTTTTTTTTTTTGAAAAAAATAACGGAATTTGCAGACCTACGCAGTGAAAGTGTAGAGGGACAGTTTCGGAAAAAGAATCGCGAAATTATCAAAATGCAGACATTTAACAATTAAACAAGGTAAAAAAAAAAATTCTCGGAAAGAGAATTCTCGGAACGGAAAAAAATTCTCGGAAACCAAATTTCTCGCAAAAATAATTTTTTGGAAAAGAATAAGAATTTCTTGAAAAAAAAATTCTCAGAAAAAAAAATAATTTCTCGGAAAAAAAAAATTCTTGGAAAAAGAAATAATTTCTCGGGGAAAAATTTTTTTTTTTGGAAAAAGAAATAATTTCTCGGAAAAAATAAATAAATAATTAATTCCGGGAAATTTCCAAGATTAAATAAACAATTGTCAAATAATCAATCAACTTAATTAATCAATCAATCAATCAATCAATCAATCAATCAATCAATCAATCAATCAATCAGTCTCAGATGATTGCTGGTTGATTGATCGATTGTTCGATCAATCTCCTGATTGACTGATCAATCAATCGAAGATTGATTGGTGGCAAACCACCAATCCAATCAATCAATCGATTGATTGGTTGTTGCCAAGATTCATCGCACTAGCTCCGAT